AGCGGCGAGGTGGCGCCCTCGTATGGTTCCCCCTTGTGACGTCATTACCTTGCGAACAACAAGTTCGATGGTGAAAAGACGGTGAGAGTGCAGGCGAGCTGGTGGTAGCTAATCATGTCGTATTACACCTGAGACTGCGGTGGAAGAAATCGGAAGAACTTTCAGTAGAAGGAACAGACACAGAGAACGTCTCAAACGTCGTCCCAGGTTGTCGAGTACCGTGAATGCTTGAAGGAGCAGCGAGGTTGGTTGGGGTACAGCTGCGGGGCCATGGTTGAAGGGAAATAAGCCTGCTTCCGGAACTATTAGTGAAAAGACGGTGAGAGTGCAGGCGAGCTGGTGGTAGCTAATCATGTCGTATTACACCTGAGACTGCGGTGGAAGAAATCGGAAGAACTTTCAGTAGAAGGAACAGACTCAGAGAACGTCTCTTTGAGACGTTCTCTGTGTCTGTTCCTTCTACTGAAAGTTCTTCCGATTTCTTTGAGACGTTCTCTGTGTCTGTTCCTTCTACTGAAAGTTCTTCCGATTTCTTCCACCGCAGTCTCAGGTGTAATACAACATGATAAGTTCGATGGTGTTTGTAAATAGCATGGTGGAAGCCTGAAATCATTGCGCTCTCAAAGCAACACTGCCAACACCGTCGAAATTAAAGTTCTTTCATTTCTCTTATTTCCGTCGATGGTATACCCGTTCCGACGTCATAGTCAGCTTTTGGGCCAATCGTGAAAGGCCGACCACAGCGACGCTTTCGGTCGCGCACGTCGCCAATACATTCTGGGGCATTGAATCCACACCAACCGAACTTGTTTTTTTTTCTTTTTCTTCTTCGGAAAGAAGGAGTAGGGGTGACCACCCAGCATGATGCTATCTCAGTGCCGTCACACCTTGGGCAAAAGAAGGTTCAATCCATTTACATCTTACATCTTGCCCAAGGCTAGTCATCTTATCAATACAAATCTTACGACATCGTGGTTTCTGAAACCCAAAACGGACAAATTAAACCGAATTGTTTTTCGAAAAAGGGGGAGACCGTCTTCGATTTCGAAGGTAACCTAGAAAGTCCTTAGTCGAGGGCTAAATGCTAAACACAAGCCCAAGGCAGATTAGGTTCGCCTCCTTTATGGTGTCAACAGAGGACTGCGCATCGATGGTGTGGTTCAAATGAGACGCGAGGCCTGAGCGGTGGTCACTTACGTGCTTGGCAGTGTCCGACAAGGATATTCGATCCGTCTTCTTCGGTGTTCTATCGCGTCTGACCAACGGGGGGCTCGCTTTGACGCACCGTTTTTTCACGCGAGGATGGCGCGCCACTTCCTTTTCTTCTCGATCGCCAACCGCAAGCAGTTTTTAATCAAAGTTCCCTCCACCTCCAGATATATCATGAAATTTTAAGCTCGACTGAAGTATTTTGAAACAACCAATATATACAATCAATCTGACCTTTTATTGGGCTAATGTTGCGGGAAGTTTAGCTTTCAGCACTGTTGTACGCGGAGCAGCAGCTCGTGATATGAAACCACAAAGTCACCCAAACATGACTCGCTGCCTGTCTTCGCTAAATGCTTTAGCCTTCTCGCGGGCAGGAAGCCCCCTCATGCATATTTTTTTCTGTGTACTTTATGTCCCATCTTCCTCTCCCCACACCACCTTTTCAGATGGTGACAGTGAAGAAACATGGCGGCTTATTTCTTTCATTTTATCTAAATAAAACGTTTCAACGACAACTCATTCGTCTGCGAACACGTCCGCCAATGACCCTGGCGAGTGTGTTGGTCTAACTTTTCACCAAAACCGAGCTACGCCTTCAAATTTCACCAGGTAAAATTAACCACCACAATTCGCATTTGGTGACAGAATGAGTTTTCTACGCGCCGGCTGGGCTTAATTGTGGACACCACATATATTATATGTGTGTTACGTTGCTGTTAGCGACAAGATATCCTACTTTTTTTCGTACAAATTATTTTTCGGCTCCGCTAAAAAAAAAAAAAAAAAATCAAACTGTGTTTACATTTCTGCGGTGTTATAAGTCCCTCAGCTTGTGTGTGTCTTCAGTGTGGGAAGAACTCGGGAAGGATCTTCTGGGTCTCCGAGTGTCAGCGGACGTTTCACTAAGAGACTTCTTCAGTTCTAGCCAAACGTAGACTGCTGCTTTGAGACTCTCCGGGGGCTCCTTTAAATCTCCGTATACGTGTTAATCAAATCACGAAATTGAAAACGCAAGCAAATGAGTCCACTATTTAGAACTCAAAATAATAAAACAAAAACATAATTTTTTACCCCTTTCAACTTGGCAAGCGTTTCCTTTATTGCAGTGACTTCTGTCGAAAACAAGCCGGCTCTAACTCCAAGCCGAAGGCCTGGTGTGCAGACTTAAGTGTCAAGAAATAACAAATAGAAGAAAATGAGAAGTGGACACACACAAAAAGGTACCTTTTTTTTCGCTTTTTGATATTTCACCCCGCTAAAGCAAAACGTCGAGGATTTTTCTTTTTTTCTTTGTGTTGTCAGTCCGGCACTTATTGCTCTCGCGAACACTGTCTGTAAGCGAACATTGATAAGCAGAGAACAGTACAGGAAACGAACTAGGAGCTGGATAACCTCTCAAAATGCCAACAAAGTGTCCCCCGATGTTGACTGCTTTTCAGAACGCAACCCACTTGAAGAAGGTGAGACCCCTGCCGTGGCTCTTATGTGGGTTATCTTCGTTATCCATTCACTCATATCCGTATCCCAAGTTCGTTTATAGTGAACTCCCCAGTATAGGGAATATAAATTATAGTTAAAACGATGCGTCTAAGGTGCGATGCGTGTAAATGAAGCGCTCTGACCCGTTTGTCACCCCCACACCTTGGTGTTTACCCAACGCAAGGCTTGTGCACATGCCCACAGGTCGTGTAATCTTTTTTAATAGAGCGGGGGCATAGTGTAATGAAAAAAATACCAACAATTAGTGAAGTGACGTTAAGTGCCGGATCTCTCCCGAAAGCAGTCGTCAGAGGATGCGAACTTGACCCATTTGGACTTTTGTGCTGTGCTGGGCACCGTGCATGCTGCATTGTTCATGCAGGCCGGAGTGGTAACAAAAGAGCCCCTCCTCCCCCTCACCGGAGAACACGAACTCCAGCCGAACGCTGACGCCGCGTTTAATTAAGTCAGCCGAGCGCTGAGCCATTGCATTTGTTATCCCCATCCATCTAGTTCTAAAGTTAACTGCTTGGGGCGCCACGGTCTGATCTCCTCCGCAATAGCTAAAGCGACCTCTTTCTTGTTGTCCCAGAAATGTTTTGTAACATCTATCAGTGATATTGCCACGTGCGTTGCCCACCGAGCGCGTAGCCGTATACTTTCCCGAAAGCGGGAAAACAAGAGAAAAGGGGGAGCGCGTGGCCGAATGGTTACCGCGCTTGGCTCTTGCGGGGAGGCTCTCGCGCGGAGGCTCCGGGTTCGATACCAGAAAGCGGACTTCCCTTTTATTTATTCCTTCAACTTGACATTCTGGTAAGTTCGAGAATTTTCTCGTCTGATTGAATTATGAATGTTCTACGCGCCGAACTTTCTAAGCCGAATGTTCCAGAAACCCACGCGGGTACAAAAGATGCTCCGAGTGGCAGTCCGGAGTCAGTCTCGCCCCAGCGGTCGATCCTGCTGTTTCGCCGACATCGACGCCTGCGAGGCTAGCCTTTCTCTCTTTTGTTTTGGCAACAAGTTCGCCCCATTAAACGTTTAGCTTCTTCAGTTATTCGCCGCCTCATAATTTATCATTCGTGACAATATTTTGCTCTTTAGAGTCGGACTGCATAAAATAGCCCTGAGATACTTTTTTCCCGTTTTGTGTTATTGCGTGCTAATAAACCATTCTGGCAACCTAGATTTGCGTAGCTGCATAATTGTCGCTGTCAATGACGTCGATACAAATTAAGCAATGCGGAAGTATCTTCATAAATAGCTTAAATACGTTTCTAGGTATTTGTACTCTACTCAAGATACTTTACAGTGAAAGTAACTTGAGTAGTATTTTAAATAGTTTATGACGCAGGGATTTAGTAACTTAACTTAAATACTTCTATCGAGTATTTTGTCCAATACTGGGTGAAACGGAGTATAGCTACGGTGGTTTTCGCGGGGCCGCCATGGGCTGCTGACTTCTGAGGCCCAGACTCGAGCGCCTAGCGAGGGCTTTCTGCTTGCCCGTCATGCAGACGATCCGCGGCCGAATTTCCGGTGACGCAGGGAGTCCAGCACCGCCGCGGTGGAGCTTCGGAGGTTGGCGCCGGTGTTAGCCGGACGGCGGTCTTCGCGATAGCGGGCCTTCATGTCTCACAGCTTGCGGTCACTTCGTAGTGATCGTACTGCACTTAAGGCAACGTTGCTCAAGATCAATACGATATCGATGGTGTGGGTTATGCGTTGAAGAATCGCCGTGGAATCTTGCCGTCAGCTCGCGAACACCTCGCGGTGCCCCACGTTCACGGTTATGTTGGTGTACGCGGGGAATAACAGGAAAAGGCGTGTTTGCCCTAGTTCCTCACTTTTACTGGTGCACGAAGTTCCTGGCCGAATTACGGCTTTTTTTAAAGACATTTATAATGCACAGAAACGATCAGAATTTAAGGGACCCTTTCCGAAAATCCGCGCCATCGCTTGTCCGCCATCGCTTGATCACTTTTTCTGAGCGTGTATTGGACGCGAGTGCTGACGTCAGCGTTCGGCGAGGATTCGGATGCAATCACGCGCTTCGTGCCCAAGCAATGGCGGCCGCCAATGTTGCTTGACGGACTTTTGAAAAGCGTAATTTTGTTTTTCTTTTGTTCATATTTTGCAGAGTAATACAATTGACTCACCGTTCGGGTTGTCGCTAAAGCTTGCATTAGTGACACTCGCTTAAATAAGCTCGCAAAAACCAACCCACTATCTAAGAAAAAAAAAAGAGAAAAGTTCGAAAACAATATTTATTACCGCAAGTTATACGACCTAGGGGGTTGTGAAAGTTGCGGTTCCTGTGCTGGAGCACTATCTTCAAATCTGCCTGAAGTAATTTCTACCTAAACGTCCAAAGCAATGCTGGGGGGTGTGGGACTATACTACTGGCTCGGCGTTTCCTTATCAGCCCCACCCCCACTAATTTAACGGTTATGGTACAGGTACCAGTACCCCCTCCCACAGACGTAAAGCACCTGACAACGCTAGACGAGATTTTGTTTATTAGCTTGTCTCGAAATATTAACCACCATTCAGATCCATCCCTTTTATCTAGCGCAAGAGACAGGAGTGGGACCACAACAAATTGAATACACGAGTACAAACATCGATAGAAAGCAACCATTCTTAAAACGAAACGCGTACACTCCACATATGAGGCCTTCTCAGCTTGCCGCGTGCCTAACCGATGCCTGGCCATCGGGCGAAAGCCTCGTTGTATAAATTATCGCCAATACGCGCTAATCGGCATAGCTGCGTCATCAAACGAAATTCTATTCGCAGGCGGGCAAGTATGACGTCCGCCTACGCCTCGGTGGACGAAGCAGGTAGGGTTGTGTCCACGGGGGTCTGAGGCCGAGGCTGTGTTTGATGGCTCTGCCACCTGTACAGAACCGGGTAGAGTCTGCGGCAGCGGGTCACTACTTCGGAGAGATTGCGGATGACGAATCCCGACGGCAGAATGTCCAGCATCACCGGGGCCCACGCCTTGAACTGGGGCCATTTGACGTCCCTGGACACGACCGCGGGGACCAGTGCATGATTTCCCTACACACACCCTAAGGGGGATGTACACCCTAAGGGGGATGTACACCCTAAGGGGGATGTACATCCCCCCCTCTTTGTTTTCCTGTAGGCATCACCTTAATTCGCAATGACACCTCTATTCTCAATGCCCCCCCCCCCCCTCCCCACCCCACACACACACACACACACAATAAAATGCAGACTCCCCCTCCCTAGTTTCAGTTCCTGGGGAATTCCCGGGGACATACGGCGACACATCTGAATAGAAAGCGGCTTTGTTTTTAAAACGCCTGTCAAGATTTGCGTTTTTTTTTCTTTAGCATTCATTGTTTTGGTGCATGCAGCCGTTTTTTGTTTGGACGGTCGTAGTTTAGGCTGGACTGGACTGGGTTTCGCGATGCCGCAGCACGGTTCCCGGTGTGCTTTTTCGCTCCGTTCGTTCGCTCGTTATGTTCCCCTTCCCTCTTACAAATGGGAAATAATCTTCTGGCACGCTTCCAGTGACGCGCTGCGGGAGCGGGAGAGGGAGGGAGCGAACGGCCATTGCCGTGTAACAACGCACGCGACAAAAAAAAAAAAAAAAAAAAAAGCGGCCCAGCGACGATTCTATTTGCGCGAAACCGCCGACACCCGGGAGGAAAGATTGGCTCTTCGAAGACAACTGTATACGTAGACCGTAGGCGGCGATCGAAGGAAGCTGGGGTGGCTGCACTCGAAACCACCGTCGCCCGTGAGAAGAGACTGGCTCTCCGAAGACAACTGTATGTGGGCCGTTGCGAGGTTCGAGTTCCCATCCTTTGCTGAGTAGGAACCCGTGCGCTAAGGGCTAAACTCCATGGAGCGAATTATGCGACGAATAACTGACGAACGACGCCCGACGGCACGCTCGCTTTGCGCGTGACGTAGCAGCGACTGTGCTGATGCCACGCGCAGAGCAAAAGCCAACGGGCAAAATTCGTCCATTTTTCGCAGCACATTCGCCCCATGGAGTCCAGCCTTAAATGCCAACGCATTTTGTCGAGAATCGGTGTAATAACACGAGAGTACACGAAAAAGGTCTATATACACTTGGCGAAAAGAAAAAGTGGGCGGAAGAATTGGGCGGCCGTGATTGGCCGGCGCCGCGCTCGACCTTGGCGCCGGCTAATAATGGCGGTCAAATTTCTCGCCGACTTTTCGCCATGTGTCCAGGTTAAAACCCCAGGTGTGAGCACTGCGCGGGCAGAGAAACGAGGTTCGCATGAGATAAAGTCTGCGCGTGCGCAGTGCCGATAGCAGAGGCACCGCAGCGCCGCCGCAGCGGGTGATGTGAGGGACTTGACTCGGTGTATAAATACGTGGAAACCAATTGCTCAATACTTCACAGTATACTGCCCGGCAAACGCACTTCGATTCAGTTACCTTGCAGTCTGAGACCTCATCATTTAAATAGTACCGGTTCGTCAGAGAGTTACCGCACAAAGGGCTGCTTCACCGCAGAGTTCGGACTCACCCGTCCCTCGCAAAGGACACCCAAGTGCGCAGTACTCTGAAGCTGAGGTCTCCTTGCTGTCGCGACGCCGACTTGGTGAGCAGCGGTCCTCCCAGAACTAGGCTCAGGTCGTCGACGAATGTTCCCGCCTGGTCTGGCACGTCGCTGAAGCGAAACATGCGCAGCTTGCTGCCGACGCGGGACAATTCCGTAGCCCAGAAAAGCACGGGGCAGACGAAGAACACGTCGGCCAAGAGACGTTGCCACTGCATCAGTCTCGAAGACGGTGACCGCTCGGGAACCTCGTTGTTCAGTTCGTAGAGGGACAACAGGTAGGGCTGCGGAATAAGAATTAGTCCGGGCAAGAAAGTACGAGGATTCTTCGACCGCGACCTGGCTCGACCAGTATATCCACGGGGAAGAAACAGCACGATTATTATCACCATAATCATCATCACTGGCTTGGTGGTGCAAGCCACCACCCAATTTAAGGTGTCGATGCGCCCATCCATTCATATATGCTCCATTTACGAACATTCACTAAAATGATTCTAGAGTACCAATTACACCTTATTAGCAGCTGCCCTCATTGTTGGAGAGTAAGAAAGAAAGGCAACATTTAGAGGCGTTAGCTCGAGCACCGAAAAGGCTGTGTTCCAAATCTTTCTCGGGAATATCTGTGTTACTTTACGACGGATAATATCAGCCAACGCTACCATAGTCGGTGACTTTTTAAAGTTCAGGAGAAGATACTCTCACCCCTTCCGCCTTTAGCAGCGTTAACATTGGGGAGGAGGCGACCTCCTCTCTAGCATTCATTCTGCTAAAGTGGAGAGAAGCTTCTGTCTGGCGACATTCAGCTTTTTGCGTGCGTGCGCGTGTGCGTGCGTGCGTGTGTGTGTACGCGGTCGCGTATGTGTGCGTGGTGTGCGCGTGTGTGTGCCTGTCAGTCTTTTGGTTGCTAAAAATGTATCACTCTTTTAGTGGTTTTTCGTAACACTATGTTCACTTTTTAATTACATCTTATTTGTATTTGCCAGTTCCGGAAACTCAGTTCGCAATAAAGCACACACAATGACTTCTTTCCCCCGGCCCGGTCATACGTTTCGAAGGCATGTACGCGTACAGGTGTCACGACACTTACGCGGTTTTGGTTGGGAAGTTGGAGCTGATCCAGCTGGCTGGAGCACATCTGCACCAACGACTCAAGATTCCTACGCCGGCGACCATCTTCCTCTCCGCCGGCCTCCTCGTAAGATCGGATCCACTGGCCACCGTCGCTGAACACGCTGCCCACCAGAATGTCTCGGTTTTCCACCTGCTAGGGTTTTTCACGGCGAAGCACACCATGTACTCTGGCGCCTCTAACGCATTAGAGGAATTCCTCACTTACTACAGGAGCCGGTTTAAAACCGACACACCGGAGAAAGTCTTATAGACACTGATTTGCCTTAATCATGATTCGACACAATTAATAGACATATCTGAATTAGTTGTCCCAAATTGAAAATCGCAATATTTTGTTTTTGCGAAATTGTTGAAGTTTTAACTTTGATCTGAGAGGCACTACTGCAGCCTTTAAACTACACTTCTATGAGCCCGATCGAGAGCTCCAAAAACATTTGGTGTCAAATATACCTTCTTTTTTTTTTTTTTTTTTAACGCGGCTTTTGCTTGGAACTGTCTACAGAAAACCAGGATCGCCGTAGCGCGATTTAAACTAATTTCCGAATATTTTGTATCAAATGCCAATAAACAACGCAAGAAAGTAATCGGAAGCGATTTTAACGCACCCGACGTAAACTGGTCGGATAAAGGTGTGGCTTGTTAGTGAACAAACCTGCCGGAAGTGTCCGTTAACATTGCATTTAGTCGGTGTCTTCGTCGGTCAGTCGAAGGTGCCACTAGTATAACTGCAAAATCAAGCACATTGCTTGAAATTTTCTTAGTAAACGTTTTGATCATTGTAGCGTTTCTGTTCACGATGTAGTATCACATTACAAATCGGTGTTTTTGTGGTTCTCTCCGAAAGTGACAACCTAAGTGAAGCAATATCATGATTACAAGAAAGGCAAATGACAAGTCAGTACTCCACTATATTGAAGAGCGCCTGGACAGATTTAATGAATTCATGTAAATTAAATGTGGTTGAATTTTCAATGTTTTGTCACGACTGAAGAACGTTTTGATAAAATAAAGAATGAAAAATACTCCCCGAGTCAAGTTTTCTAACCACAGTCACCGGTTGATATCGTACCATGGTAATTTCCGGCCCTTCGAGCGCACTAGCACTTTGTAGAATCAAACTTTCAGCGACTCCGACAAATTTCCAGCGACACGAACGAAGGTAAACAATCAATATGGCGGAGTGTTCCCCTTGTTGTCCCCGCCGCCGAGCACGTGGAGCGAAATTAGGTGCTGCAGAACCCAAGAATCCTGTGTTCAATCCCCACCCTTGCCTGTTTCGATCTGGATGAGCATTGTACCGGCGTGCGATCGTGTACCATACTGCGTGGTGCACGTTAAAGACTCGGGCTAGCGGTTTTACTGCCCTGGCTAAACTGCTCATTTACAGCGAGTGACTCATCGCAACTTTGAAACGGCTGACCAACTACACGCTGTATAAATATCCACAGAACCGCGATTAATTAGAAACCGCTAGTGCGAGTTGGAGCGCTCACTGGGGCTCGGCTCTGTGGCACTCTCATTGTTTAATTTGGAGGTCAAAGGAATTATTGTTGTCAGAGTGAAGCAGGCATTAACAAACTGCTCACGCAAAAAAAAAGAAAAAAAAAAGCGCACAAATGTTTTTTTTAAGCTATAAAACATGTGATGTCACCCAACGGAGAGCGCAAAAATGTTGAATGTTCGCTTTGAAATTACCTTGGTTCGCCGTTTCCTCGATATCTATGTTGAATTCATAAATATTAACAAGTAGCGTGCCGTAAAAAGTAAATTCGGGGATTCCCAAAAATGTGCATAATTTGGGTATTTATATAAAAAAAAAAAAAATTAACCGCCGGAGCTTTTTTTTTTTTTTTTTTTTTAAGAGATTTTTCCGACGCTTTTTTCTGCAGTGTTTGAGACCGTGTCAGGCGAACAACGCAATGGTAGCAACTTGGATATTTAGTGGCCAGAGGCTGACGCGGGGCGCAGATCAAAAAACGAGTGCGACACACGTGTCCAATCAGTGATGAGACCAGTCCTATTCGAACGTTGACGAACGTTTGTTTCCTACCCGCCACACACGCTGGCCTCCTTCCTCTTCGTGACGTAGACAATGTAGCACAATGGCCTTGCCTAAAGTCCCTCGATACTTCTTTTACAAGTAACGACAACCAACTGAAATGACAAAGCACAATACGCTGGAACAATATGACGGCATTCAGTTCAAACTTCTGCTGTGTGTCGCCATTCGCTTCCTAAAACCCGCACCGTGACGCAGTCGGCGCCTCAAAGATATCGCTACTTGTAGGAAGCTCTCATCTAGGGACTCTGGTCTTTCCATCTTAGGATGCGATGAACCAGCTCATGGACTTACCCGAGAGAGCAGTTGGTGTAGCCTCCAGGGTTCGCTTCCTTCGAGCGGGTACGCGTTGAAGCTTGGCCCAAACAGCGGCCCGATCTGCAGTCCGAGCTCTTGCTTCATCCCGGCGGCAGCGGCGGTGATCTCCGAGGAACTCCTGTTCCGCAGGCAGGAGAGCAACTCGGCGGCGTTCGGACGGGCGCACGCCAGTCGTCGTGCCAGGGACCTCAAGTTGTCCCCGGCACGGCCCGTGTTGTCCCTGGTCAGGCGAAACGGGGTGCCCGAGTGGAAGATGAAGCGCCGCAGCAGCCATTGAAGCTCTCTGTCCCGCTGGTTCAGCAGGTGGTAGCCCGCCGACGTGGCCCCCGATCCGTGGCCCAGGAGGGTTACCTGAAGTTGTGGAAGGGGCACTGGACTTAGGACATTTGAAAGATTTTCTGTAAAACGTAACATGCGTTTTAACGCACCCCCCCCCCCCCCCCCCCCCCAAACCCCTTTCCCTACAGATCCCAGGTTTTGTCCATCCCGGACCTACTCGGTCGTGGTTCGTCCATGCATTTTCCGGTACATTTAGGGGCAAATTGACGTTAAGGGCATGACCTTTACACTAGTTCAGTTTCCTGCTAAGTTTGGCGGGCAAATTGCTGCCACGGAACCTGTACGGCAATTCAGTTTTCCCGCTAGATTTGACGTAAAAATTATTGTCACGTGACCTACGGATCAGGTCAGTTTCCCCGCTAAATTTAGCGGAGAAATCAATAAAGAATATATAGTTTAATGTCTCCTAAACAGATTTCAGCGCTCCCTAACTAGTGCATTTCGTGTATTATGGTACTTTGGAGTTGAAGATCACTGCCAATTTTTAATGAAGATTTTTGTTTTGTTTTAGTGTTTGTCACGTACACGCATCTTTCCACTCCTCATCTATACAAGACACCGGCGAGAACTATTGTTACGACATAAAATTTAAACTACTGTTTGGAAGTTCGATTCAGCAACAACGAGTGTAGAGGCAGGCAGTCTTGAGGTATGGTCAATCCGTCAGGTGTTGCAACAATCCCATTTTTTTCTGAATAGTTCTGATTCTTCATATTTAGTGGGGCTGTCACTCAATGGAATCGAACCTCGCATCATATGCCGTTGGCATTTGAAGCGGCCGAGGGCACTTTGTGCACAACACACTCCTCTATGCAATGTTCCCTGTGTAAAGTAGTCGGTCTCTATCATTTCTTCAACTTGTTTTGTGGCAGGAGTACCAGGGTTCACCGCGTACCACCATTTCAGAGAAGTTTTATTTTACTGAATGACATCGAACGTCAATTATTAAACCATCACTGTCTTGAGTGTACAATCTCCGGCTTTACGAAAAGAACGAAAACTATATTCACTCACAACGAGTGGAAAAATGCGTGAGTTCTGTGTCTTGCCGAAGGCAGTTCGAGAATGAGACACCCATGCATGGGTGTCTCATTCTCGAACTATCTGCTACTCTAGAGAACGTAAGGCCACCCAGCAGCAAAGACGTGACATTAACTTCACGCCTGTCAAAATGTACAGCAACAACTTCAACTGCTTTTTTTTTTTTTTTTTTTTGCGGCGGAACGGAGTGTTGAAATAGAGGAACAGGGATTAAATGCACACCGTAGGAGTCGCGAGAAAACACTTCAATGACGACGATGGAGAGCGAACGGCAGACCTCGGAGGAATTTCCGCCGAAGGAGGCGATGTTTTCCTTGATCCAGTGGAATGCCAGGGCCTGATCCAAGAGGGCCACGTTGCCGGGGGCGTCACTGGAGGCTGCGTTGAGGAAGCCGAAGACCCCGAGGCGGAAGTTGGGCACTACCACCACTACGTCGCCCATGGAGGCAAGCATGCTGCCGTCGTAGGCACCGTTCCAGCCGTTCTCCAGGTCCCTGCCGTACAGCAGCACGAGCACCGGCAGCAGCGGGCACTGCGTCATTTTACACTTGTCCGGCTGGTGCGGTGTCCACACGTTCAGGTGCAGGCAGTCTTCGCTGGGCTCCTGTGCGGTGTATGAGCGCGTTTTACGAATCGTGTTTTTTGTTGACATTGATCCTCGACGTGGTGAGAAACCAAGTCTTCTTTACAGCGTAAAGCACGCGCCCGGGCGACTTCTTTGGTGGGACGCGGTGTCCAAAATGTCTGAACCACGGTGGAAGAGGAAAGAGGTGTCGGAACGAAGCCAGAAAGTAGTCAAAATTCCACTCATGCTTCGCTCATTTCCCGGCAGGGGCACTGCCGGGTTGGGGCTCCGGCAGTGCCCCTGCCGGGGCATTGCAGTAGCCCTAGCCCGGCACAACCCGGCGCGAAGCGCACCACCGCGCCCTTGCTCCGTGTCGAGGCAACGCTCTTCTTCTTTGAACTGTCTTGATAAAGGTATTCTCATGAAAACAGTAACTGAAGAATGCATACACTCTATTTACCTGTAGACGTTTCTATGATCCAGGGGTTACTACGATTATAGGGTTCACATTTTCGTAAACAATCTTAAACAATTATGAGAAAAATTGTGTCTTGAACGCGCATCACAAGACAGTCACCAAGCGCTCGCACTGGTGTCTTGTATAATGCTACACAAGGAACGCCTCGAATGAAGTATAAAACGCAGGAAAGCTTATGATAGCATGATTCATTCACCGTTTATCACTGACCACGCAAGAAAACAACAGAAAAAATTCCAAAAAGTAGTCTGGTAGACAAAACAAACAAAAAAAAATACATGGAGCGCATGGTCAGCGTCTGCCTCTGAAGAGAAAATCTTCATATACCTCATGCGAGCCACTGAAGGTATGCACTTTGCTCACCACAATTAATATATGAGACCTTTGCTGCTGAACGTGCGTACTGACAGCGGGGTTTTAATTTATTATTTCTCAACGTAAAACTTACACCTTCAAGAGAGCCATTCTTGACGTAGACGATAAATAGTGACTTATACTTAGCATGCGTTATATAAGGTCGACCTTATGTATGTCTAGCTCTCGGTGGATACCGGCACAAGAGGCCGGCGAAGCAGCTTCCGCGATGAGTACACCGGCTTGCCTGAAGCGAGTGTAGGAGACATTTCTCTTATGACAGCACCAAGTGAAACATTAACGAGGCAGAACATTGCGACTGCACCCTCCGGGTGCAGTTTTGCTTTTTCGTTAGCCTCGAAAATTCGCAAGTCTGACGCAAGGTTTCTGCTCGCCTCATCTCGATCAAGCTGGCGAAGCCTTAATCAGTCTATGTAGACTTAAGGTTCGAGTTCCCGGTCGCAGCTTCACTTATATCAACATACACAGCAGCGACAGCACCATACTGCCTTTTCCATGCTGCCCTCTTTTTTTCCCCCTAAGAATGGATTTTAAGCGAGTGTAGAGCCCCCTTTAGTGAAATACCAGTCGCCTTTTCATACGTCCCAGCGCAGTGTTTCAGTAGTCATCGCACGGGTGATATACACGTTAGAGAGGTCACAGGCGTATACGGCAGTACCATTTCGAACGGCTCAAAGCCCGCAGGCAGGGCTCCCTGCGGGCACGGCGGGCCGAGCGAGACGGCCAGCTTCTTTTCCCAGTGGAGGGCCCGCAGCGCGGGCGCGAACCTGCTTCGACCGGCCGTGCTCTGGCCGTAAGGCACGCCGAGGAAGGCGAAGACCCGGCGTCCCATCACGTCCAGCTGGCGGCCTTGTAGGGGGCCCTGGGCCGTGGTCACGGTGATGGCGCGCGCGCTGAACAGGATTCCCAGCGAGATGACCGCCAGCGCCAGGACCAGGAAGGCCAGCGTGGGGCCGAAGAAGGCCATCTTCCTGCGGAGCATCGAGACAAACTTAGAAGGAGACGTCCCTTTTAAGCCGCGGACGTCGAACAAGATACACGGTGTCCGCTCGAGACATGATGACAGAATTACATAGAGACATGCCTAAAGCGCATTGGAAGCATAATTGCTTTATACATGTGTGTGCTTCCACAGGACCGCCATGAGGAAGAAACACGTCTAGCTGCCTAAGACCGTGTCGTCGCCTACATGGCAGTGAAAGACGCTCCGACTGCGCCCAGTGTAGCACTCCAGTGGCTCGCCGATGTTGAACCGACAAGAAGGCCGAAGAGCTAATCTCAAAAGTTTGAAGTGAGGCGCCAAAGCAACGAGGACACAAGGAGAGAAGCAGACAGGACGAGGGCAGCATTCATTCAATTCAGAGGTCACTCGAGGCGACTTGTTTGCTATTGGATCAAGGGTGTATATAGCGATAAGGAGAATTCACTGTCGCTGTGCTCAAAAAAATTTAATTAATTATTTATTTAGTTTTGCGTACGTGACAGCATCGTCCCTTCAACGGTGAGTCGTGTGAGAAGAGTGTGTACACCGGCCTGGCAATGCATGGTATCCTTCATTTTTCTTTTACCGATTCTCGGGTTTTAGTTAACGCTGTCTTACAGCCAAAGTCACGTGGTTATTCTTCACACTTATCCAAGGCTGAAACGTGATTGGAATACCCACCAGCACCTACTGAACTGCGGTTCCGGTTGTTCGTCTTCATACTCCTGGTTCAGCCTTTCCTGTAATCTTGAGAGCCAAAAAGAAAAAAAAAAAAAAAGAAAGAAAGAAAGAAAGGAGGATTTAATATGAAACTAACATGTCAGGAAAAAACAGCGTGTCCCTTTATCACAGAGAAGCGGCGGTCGCTTTGAGGATATGATTGGCGGGCAAATTTCTTAGAATTACATTGCAAAATGTTTGAAGTAATGTCGGTGAACCGGCAACAATCAGCTCTCCTTGAGACTACAGGGACATGGAATAAACGTTCCATATAACGGTGCTGACCCCTGGGCATGAAAGCACAAGCAGGTTAACTTTAAGAAAAGGTAAATTCGTTCACTTCCCTGCAGAACACGAGACAACAAATCAAGCCGAACAATAACGGGATCCCAGCAAATTACGAAGCTGAGAATACTATTAAATCACTAAAAAGAAATGTTCATTATGCGAATGGACAATGAGAATGGTGTTTCATTTGCTTATTCTCATTGCGAACATTGCATTTTTTTAAGATCTAATCGTCAAGTATAATAAGATATAATCGTCAGATCTACCGTAATCAGATGTAATCTAATGTAGTCCACTATAATATAATCAGATCTTATATAATTACAAGAAAACCCATTTAGAACGAACCTACGTACAGCGAATTATTGTCGATATCGAACTCACGCAAAATTTAAATAAAAATTAATGTAAAAAGTACTTTTTATAACAAACAACATATTGGCTACATCGAACTCCCCCCCCCCCCCCCCCCCCCGGGAACGCTTCCGAAAACGCGCAAACAATCATCTCTAGCCTGTCCCTCCCAACACCCCCCCCCCCCCCCCCCCCCCAAAAAAAAAGGTAGGAAACAAAGAAAATTTCAAAATCTCAAGTTGCCAACAAAATTGAGCGAAGAGAAGCGATTCAGAAGGGGGGAAAAGCTAAAAAATACCCTTTGCACGCACGCGCAGAAAAAAAAAATTCATCCCAAAACCGTCGCCCACGAAAGAAGCGATTCAGAAGGGGAGATAAGCTAAAAGAAGAAACTCTGCACGCCTGCAAACAAAAAAGAAAAAAAAAGTAAACCTTTTTAACGTGTTTTTACAAGGCGGAGGCGAAGAGATGAGAAAGAAAGATAAGCTCTCGCCTTACAACGAATGCATCGTGGAAGTTCGTTGTAAATGGTTTTTGCTATATCGAATTACTTGTTATATCGAATTGATCGTAGCGTTTCCTGCTGTTCGTTATAAACGGGTTTGACTGTATATCTTATTTAATCAGGTGTTATCTAATCAAATCTATAATCTAGTCAGCTCTAGTTGTATTTTGGCTGGGATCCTTCTATTCTTCACTGTGAATCGTTGTGTCGTGTTCTGCGGGAAAGCAAACTGATATACAGGGTGTCCCCGAGAAAAATTTACAGTTTTTTTTTCACCGCAAAAATAAACTACGCATCGCCTAAGCTCATTCTCCGCCCGAACGTGGCGCTATAGAGGTTCGAATCAGATGCCAACATTTCAGCACAAAGCGATATTTTATTCAAAAGTTATAAATGATTTTCTGAAAATGTCAACGGAAAAATCGCGGCCAATGGTGTCCTCGAATACAAGGAGCCTTACGGCGCCTTAAATTGAAAACGGACAGAAATGGGCCCCATTTTTTTTTTCCATTGAAATTTTCAGGAAATTACACAACTTTTGAATAAAATATTGGTTCGTGCTTAAACCTTGGCATCTCGTTCGAACCTCTGAATCTACCTTTGAGAGAAGAATAAACGTTCAACAATGCATAAATCTTTTTTTTTTTTTTTTTTTTTTTTTGCGGTGGAAACGAAAAAGCGGAGGGTCATTCTTCCCGAAAATTAAACATCAATGTGACTGCAAAGTAACTTTCAAACGCCTTCCTCCCATCGCTCCTAAAATATAGTTAGTATAACATAGCGTCAGGGTGTCCTAAAAACATATATTTGCAAGTTTTCATAATTAAGTCAATTTCGGAAAAATATGAGTTTAGACAGCGTCCTGTGTGCAATTTCAGCATTTGTTTTGTATCTGCTAACTACCACACAAGATTCAAAGGCGTGAACTTTTGTTTTAGCAAAGTAAAATTTCATAAGTTAGCTTTAAAAAAAATCGTACTCCTACGTCAGCTCCAAGTTATGATATGATCTCAGCGTCCAGCGTTGCTGAAATAATTATATATTTACAAATTGTAAAAAAAAAAGAAAAAAAAAATCAGTGTGGCCGACCTGCATGTTAGTGGTATAACGAAAGTGATAAAAATTTATTTACAAACTTCTGCCAACCATACTCGATTTCAACCATATTCAGTTCAAATGCAGACTATTTAATACGTTTTCAGGAAAGTCTTACAACAAGAGCCATTCACCCTTGGCCAAAACTTAAGATTTTATTAGCTTATGAATAAATAGAAATAAGCGCGTACCTTTTTATGTCTCAGTGGGTTAACGGATATTTCGTGTATTATTTTTCATAATAAAATAAAAAAGGTAATGTTTTGGTATGCTGAAAATGTTTTTACTGCATATTTGTTTGCGTTATAAATTTATTTTTAGTTTGTGTAAAGACAATAAACTGTTCATCAAAAGGCGGGCATGCTCCCAAATAAATATTAATGAGCTTTAAAACCAGTTTAATTACTTTTCTAAACGACCAAGTGGCGCATTTGAAGAAGCTAGCTTTTGCGAAAGAAGCAGCCCTTGCAAGAAGATTTTCTAATCAAGGCACAAAGTTTGAGTCCATGAGTTTTATGTATGTTATTGGAAATATTAATATTGCAAAATAAAAATAATAAAACATTCTGATCAGCACAAAAACGAAATCCAAAATATAGTTCCGTTCATCTTATCTTGAGTACGTTCTACAATGTTTGCCGTGAACACAATATAAAGAAACATCTGGGAGCTCGGCTGTGTTTTCTATGGAAATAAAAATAAAATTACCCATGGATCAACATATGATAGCAAACGAAAGTCAATGTCGCGAAATTACCTTTTCATGAACCTAGGAGAATGACCCGGGTATAGGAACTCCGTTGAAAAGCTAATTGCGTCTATGATGGTACACCACCTCGTGTTTCCAAGACGCAATTAGCTTGAGTGCAACCAGTATATTCATTGCGCTCAAGCTACAGAGTCGTACAGTTTACGAGTGCTGGCGAATTACGGTAAAACACACACACACACAGACACACACGCACACACACATTAATACAAAGAAGAAAATGATTGAAAAAAAATATTCTGATTTGGGGTATTGGCCTAGCAAATGGGGCGGCAGTCTTTGTTTTGCTGGTCTCTTTCTGCAGGTCATTCTGATTGGCTATCAGCGTGCCCCGAGGTGTTACACTTGGTGTTACACTTGGTGACTGCGGTTGCCGTCCACTCACTCTAAGAAACCGGGTGCGTCCCGCAAGAGCACTCTCGGGAGAGCCAATCGCCGCAATGTATTGGGGAGGAGGACAGACCGTGACGCCCCAACTACACGGATGGGGACAACAAATACAATGACGCAGCGTTCGGCCGACATAACCGAACGCAGCGTCAGCGTTCGGCTGGAGTTCGTGTTCTCCGGCGAGGGTGAGGAGGGGCTCTTTTGTTTCCACTCGGCCTGCATGAACAATGCAGCATGCACGATCCCAGCTCATCACAAAAGCCGAAGTGGGTCAAGCTCGCATTCTCTGAGGATAGATCCGGCACTTAACGTCGCTTCGTGGATTGTTAGTATTTTTTTTTATTAAGCTGCGCCCCGCGCTCTACTGTAGAAGATGACATGATCATGCACATAAGGCCTGTCGGCATGTGCACAGGCCTTGTGTTGAGTAAACACCAAGCGTGGGGAAAACAAACGGGTCAGAGCGCCCCCTATAGACCGTTTTACTGAAAGAGGGCGAGAGAGAAAAGGGGAAAGGGCTACCGGCGCTTTCCCCCTTTCTGATTGTGTAGAAAGAGTGAAAGTCCCGGATGAGAGGCTTCGCCGGTGTTGGGTGTCTGCTGTGCGCGAACTTCGTTCGCGCTTTCTTTTCTGTTTTAAGCTCGCAAACTTAATTAAAGCCAGGGGCTTCGACGGCAACAGTTGCCCGGTCATCGGGACACCATTGCTGGGTCATAGGGTGCACGAATAAAAACAGAAAGCATAGAATACTGTCCGAGGACATATGTAGCTTGCGAAGAATCCAGCAAGGCGAGAGCGGCTGCAATGTCTTTGAACTCCATCGCTTTCCACATGACCCCTGTCTCCGGGGGCAGTGGATTGCTTGCGTCCGTAAACCGAAAAGGTGTTTCCTCAACGCCATCCTCTCGACTTCGCTCGGAACATTTCGTGAATGGAGCGCGCACCGAACGCTGTACCGCCGATGAACATGGGGTACGCTCGCAATGTGCGTGCGAGTTTTCTCATGATAACTGCTGTTTCAGCTTGTAAAATTTCGTAACTGAATTTATCTTAATAGTGATAATTTGTAGTGGTGACTGAATCGATTTTATCATCTACAACACTTAGTTAAAGACTTTTATTTCCGCCGCCGGGTAAGGCTGGAAATTGTTGAAAACGTAGTTCTATTGTTTTTTTTTTTTATTATTATTATTTTTTTTAATTGCGATCTCCTGCGCGATACCAGAGAGCCGGCAAAAGCGCTCCTTAGAGTGCCGCTGGTGGGTTGTTTCCGTTGACTAAGGCGCTTTGAGGCGCTTGATAGTCGCTGCAGGGAACGACTCATGTGTTTGCGTTTTCGAGCCCAGTGTGCACGTTTCTCTGTTTGAGTCATGGCATCCGCCAGTGTGGCGACGGGGGGAACAGCGGCAGCGAACGTGCCAGCTATAGAAATTGGAGGTGAGTACTCAAAATATTGCATCAAACAGTAATATAATTCGTGGCTGCTTCGAGGCTTTCTGCGGTTCGATAAAAGTACATCTAGAGCGTCTTCGTCGTTCATTCACAAGGAAATATAAGAACAGGGACACGAAGATATAAAGAGCACAGCAAGACGTTATATAGCAGCTCCGGGCGTTTACAAAGTT